CGGGAAATGTCTCAGTGCCTGTGATTGGCCCTGCGTGCTGACAGCTTCCCGGCAGGCTCGGCACAAGGCGCTTGCGAACACGCCCGAGCCCATCACTACTTGTGATGTGTTTGTTGATATGCAATGGTTGTTTTGGTCTCCATAGCATGTAGAGGACTCATAAGCCTTTGGTGACTAGCATTAGTACCTACATTCCCCTGGTATACAGCATGATTTGTGCAAATACCTGCTTGCATGTAGGATATATCCTGGGACTTTTAGTTACACAAAGTTGGTGGAAATGTTTGTGTATATTTATATACAGAGTGCTGCTGGCTCAGTGGCTCTGTACAAATTGTAGCCCAACTCAGTTCTCAGATGCTGCATTGACCCTCCATGACTAAAAAAAAGTTCTGTAGTGGTTGCTTTAATAATTAATTAAATATTTTTTGCCTTCTGTGGCTACACAGTTCTCTTTTAGTGACTTTCCTGTGGACTTTCTGTCCGTCACACAGCCAGCATTTTCAGAAAGTCAACAATACCAGCCTACATTCAAAGAACATACAAGTTCTTTGTAGAAATTGCAGTGTGCACTGCACATATATCAACCACAACATACATTTTAAATGCTTGTACAGTAATCACAAATGCTGTATAATTAACACACATATTTGTGTGAAACATGTTATCATGACTGCTGTATGTATGATGTGAATTTTGAGCAATTACATAAATCTGTCCAGTTGGCATGTCTGTGAAATGCGGTGACCATAACCAGTTAATGTCCCACCCCCGAGGATTGTTACACATAATAGTCTGTCAGCAGAGAAGCGTGGCATTAAACTTATGTTGTGTTCCACTTCCCATGTTGTTTGGTCTTGTAAGGTAGTTAAAATAGAATTTATATATTTTTGTTAGGCAATGACAAAATCTTCTTTACACAGTTATGGTAAATAGAACACAGTATTTTATTTTTATGCTTTTGAAAAATATAAATACAATAACAAAATCTGATGATTTTACATTTCATTGTTTTAATCAAGACATTTGTCATAACAATACTTTGGCCATATTTATAGTGTGTACTGTGAGTGTGATTCATAACTATAAAATAGTAAAGTACTTGTCTGTACATCTGTGAGTAAATCCCAAGCATTGGAAACTGCATCCAACTGTATACTTCCAGTCTGCTGTTTTAGTCCCCGTCCACAGCATTTCACAGCAGGAGTGCACATCATGGTGACACGTGTTACCGTGCATTTGCGGGCATTGTTTCCCAATTGATTTAAATGGTTGTCACACATGCGCCAAACATGAGAAAGTAGTGCGTTTTCCTGTGCAGGAAAACCATGTGTTTACCTGGCCTTGTTTGGGCTGTTATTAACTAGTGATGGCACCACAAGCATGTTGCATGATTTGGATGAGTTGCGTGGACGTGCAGCAAAGTGCACTTTTTTTCTGAATTTGCCGTGCGTTCACGGAACGCGATAGTGTGAACGGGGACTTACATTTTCACTTGTTTCAGTTTGGGGAGAAGCTCTTTAGAAAGTGCCTGCAGTAGATTTAAGTGGGATGACTAAACATGAAATTAGCTGTGTGCATAAAAATATATCTCTGAACAACAACACATATTTTATGTAGTAGCTTTCGTCTATGTAAATGTATGAGTTCACCTAACAACCTAACACAATAATTGACACAATAATGCAATATAAGACAGAGAATGGAGTGTGGGGCAAGTGGATGACCACACCCCTAATAATAGTAGAAAAGCACAGAAGGAAAACTGGTTACAAAGGAGCCTAGGGTTTTTTAGGTGCCACAAGGAGATACAATTACCAATTTATTGATAAAAAAGCTTTTTTATTTATAACAAAGCTAAAAATATGGTAAATACACATTGTGGCCATAATGAATAGTTAGTACATATCAGGTATGGAATGCACAAGCATATACATATCTGATGCCAGGATTCACAGATTCAGGCATATAGCAGGTTCTCATGAGTTTTGACGCGTTTCACAAAAAGTAGCTTCTTCATAAACCTCTCATAAGTATCCCAAAACTGCTACGTGTTCAAAAATACATCCAGAAGTGGGCTCCAGATAGAGGGTTATTTTGTGGGGTTGGGAGAATGGTACCATCCCTGTGGGGGCTTTCTGGGGAGACCAAATGTAGACCTGGTATGCGCCACAGTCAAACCGTATCACTGAGATTACAATTTCTAGGCAAGGGGAGGATATATGCCTAAATGTTGTCACTAGATGTGCCTCAGTTGGAGTATTTTTTCAAAGTAAAATATAGTATAAATCAAATAGTATAAATCAAAAAACTTTTTATCAATAAATTGGTGATCGTATCCCCTTGTGGCACCTAAAAAACTCAAGGCTCCTTTGTAGCCAGTTTTCCTTCTGTGTTTTTCTACAATAATGCAATATTTTATTTACAAACCTTTCACCAGTAATAACAAGACAAAATATTCAAATTTACACAGTAGTTTGTTAATATCAATTACAATTGTAAATATATTAGTAAGGTGTTCAGTTTTATAGTCATACATCCATTTTCTATTTTAAAATAAACCTCTCAGGAAAAGATGCCCCAAAAAAGTCTACCTGCAAAACAAGAGAGTAAATACTTATGACTTCTACTCCTTGCACTGTTATACACTGCTCCATTCAAGAAAAATCTTCCTGTGAAGCATGTAGAGAAATTTAATAATGTCAATCTCCTGTGCTCCCCACTATGCTCAGTGGTTTTGTCCTGCCATCCATATCACTATAGGGCACAATAGTAATTAAAAAGTTGGCAGGAGGAACCAATTGGCAGCGAAGGGATCAAGAAGATCAACACTCTACAAGTGTCCATTATTTTACAGGCTTCAGAGAGGGTTTCTGTTAAGTAGTGCTAGTGCAGGTAGCGGGAGATGAGTACTTGTACTCTTCTTTTGCAAATACTGTAGACTTTTTTGAACAGGTTTTCTATTCTGATGGGGTCACTTTAAAGGGAATCTATGGTCATTTAAATTGTTCTAATTGTCCATTTTAAATTCCATAATAATATGTCTGTAGTGTTTTACAGAACATTATAAATGTAAATAGTATGTATTTATATATGGGTCATCCATATTTGTTCAGTCATATGCACTCTATGTTTTCTACTTAGTAGTGCACAATGATTGTGCTTTTTTTGTTCCTCTCTTTCAGATTGTACAACTGTCTGTCAGGTATAACTAACTGAACAAAACATGTGTGACTGAGATTTTATCAGAGGATCAGAGAGACTTACTGACTACCATAAAAAACAGGAGAGTCTATAAAAATATGTATATAAAACCATAATGAAAAAATGGTGCAGTAAGCATGTAACATCAAAAACAATTCTAAAGCTGAACTCTAGGCACATATAAAAGCACAATTTACAGTGTATGCCCAGCCATTGTTTCACTTATTTTGGATAGAGAGGGGGAGAATTAGAATCCCTATTAAATTCTACTGCCGTATAGGCAGGGAGAGATTTACTCTCTTTGCTGCCCCAAGGCCAGGTTCCTCAATGTGCCCCCTCCCTGCCAACTCTTCCTGTCAGTGAGAGGGGCTTATTTCTGACAGTGCTGCCGCTCTACTCTTGCTTTAATGTGGCATGGAAACATCAGCATCTTTTACATGCCACGTTAAAGCCTTTATTCACCTGAAGGTGCTGAAGGTAATACACATGGCTTTATTTAAAAGGCACCCGCTTGTTTACTGACAGCTTGTCAGTCTATTAAAAAGATCCCATTAAATCTCCATCACCTCTGACCGTCCCCTACACGTAATATAAAAGACAGAGCCCCATCACCTGCACAATCACTGGTGATCCAGTGGTTGATTAGTAAGGTCTGGTGCAGACCTTATTAATCCTTCCTTTCGGCCAGATCTCCAGCTAAAAGGAATTACTGAGTGCCGGAGCTGACAGGAGCAGCTATGCAGGCTGCATCTGACAGAGATGTAGACCATGTAGCTGTTCCCACAAGTCAGGTATGGCGTACCTGACAGCCGGCTCTGGGGTAAATGGCACTGGTTAACAGGCCAGAATTGGCCCACAGGCCGGTACTTTGAGATCCCCCATTAGAGGCTGTGCCACCACTCTACTGCCCTGCCATGGCCTCAGTGGCCTTGTGGGGAATCCAGCCCTGCATACAGGGCTCTGGTTTCCCCTCACTTACTGATGAGTGAGGGAAAATTTCCAAAAGCACTGCAGATAAAAATAATTTTTTTTGTGCATTGCATAATGCAGCCGTGTAATCATTTAAACAAATAACATGTATTTTTATACTCGGCTAGGAATAGTACCTCAGACTCTTGTGATCTCAGCCAGTCATGCTCTGCACAGCAGCACACAGCCAGGGAGAGGGACATGTAGCACCAGTAGCCAGTCAAACTGCTTCCTGCACACATGTTGACCGGCAAGAGAGCAGAGTAAGTATTCCTGATGTCCAATTTATATACTGTGTGGGGGGATACCACTGTATTCCTTAATTATAACAGAGAAAGTCTTGTCAACCTCCTAGGTATTTTGTCTGAAAAAATGTATGAATCACAAGAGTGGCTTGGAGTTCAGCTTGGAGAATACATTTCATAGAAACTAAAAATGTGTGCATATTAAATTCATTATACCCCCTTTTTAAAGAGACTCTGTCACAAAACTGCACAATTTGCAGGTGACAGCACAAGAAAAAAAAATCAATTATTTGAAATGCAGCATTTTTTCTTTTTAGAAACTATATTTTATTCATGTGCACCTTTGAACTTTCAAGAAGATTGCAAGATTGACTAGTGAATTCCCTAGCACAGTTCTCTCCCTACTGCTATTTCATGTCTCCTCTTCTGGGTGTGTCCAATTACTCTCTGTGCTAGTTAAGCTCCTCCGTCCCTCCCCAGCTGGTGGCACCCAGCCGTAGTTTCAGGGCTTTAGAATGTCTACATATGGGATGCTTTTACAGGTAAATAAAATAGGTTAAATGCACATATCTATAAGAATATTTTTGTTGAAATGAATAGCCAGGCAACAGAGTCATTTTAAGTGACTACCAGTATGTTTGTACCTACTAATCATAATATGGTAATTCTTTAAAGGGTAAAGCTATTAATTAGAAACCAGTGCAGCTTTCCTTCTTACTGCTGTAATCATTAAATTGATTTTTCCAGTCCATCATGTAATTGTTCCAGCGATGGAATTCAGCCTTCCACTGCCGTTCTACTTCATCAATATTTCCTAAAAAAAAAAAAAAGATCACACTTAGTGTTTTAATCTAAATTTGAATCTATGTGTTTACATTAATTGAAAAAAAACGGGTGTTAGTGACTTTGTATTCTTAAAATACTGATATACTAGACAGCCAGGAAAATGAATTTCTTAAAATGACTTGTTTTACTTTGTAGCAGATTATTTAATTTTCTTATGGTATATTTTCTCTTCTATAACATTTTGCTATTTGGACTGTTAGTGTATATTTATGTTTAGAAATTACTACTTATTTAATCTTCACAACGTCTTCTGCTTACACCTATTTTGGTTAGCAGATCTGGAAGTGTATACGTTGTTAATAAGCGTTATAGTAAATGTTGGCAAGTGAACAAAAGATTTAGCAAATATACAGAATTATTACCTTAACCCAGTAAAAATCTGTCCTTTTACTAAACTTTGCAAGTTTTCATCTAATTTGTGTGCATGTCCTTGAATTGTCTTATGCTGGTAAATAAAATATTTTAGCAGCATTCCTTTGTATAAAATGTTCTATATGAGCATTAGGTTAAGAACCCTAATAAAAAGCATATATGCCTTCCTAACAACACTGATATTGAACAGTAGATTTTAGCTTAAGTTTAAATAGCACTTCATTTTGTAGCTAGTTTTAGAAACATAGAACAATGACAGCAGGAGAAGACCAAGCGCTCTGTCAATTCTGCCCCTGCTATTCTTTCTGCTATGTCTACCGATAGTTTGAATACATTTATTTGGTGCTGAAATTCTTTTTTTATGTCATTGTTAGTATCATATCAGGGAAGGGCGTGAGGGCATACAGCATTTGTCCCTCAAGCCAGTACTAATGAGACATGCCAGGGTGGGGACCCTGAATGGAGATACCCATTAATCAGATTGGGACTCCGAGTCAGTAACACATGGTGGGCCTTTTATGGCTACCACACTCAGACCTGTGATAACAGCATCTGGCACAGGGAAGTCTTCCAGCACCAACTTAATTTGGGTTCTCAGCTGTCAGGTGAATGAATGGCAAGAGCTGTAAAGGAAGCTGATTTTGAAAAATGTGAAAAGAAAATGTCACAGTAGATCTTATCTTTTAGGAACACCTATCACCATGTCTTCAGATCAATAAGGCACCATGGCACAATTGCACAACATATTATATAAGTTTGATGGTTAATGGAACACCATGCCACCACCACCTTGCACCCATACACAAGTATATAAATCTAGAGTAGCTGTTTTAAAACAGAAGAGGAATCCCCTTAAAAAAAGTAATATGCTCCAATACCAGATATATATACCTACAACCCTATTCTAGAGGTAATACGCAAAATAACCAAAGATCTACAGCCAGTACCCTCAGAAGACCCCACACTTAAAGAAATATTCCCTCAGCCCCCAATACTAGCATTCAAGCAACCACTGAACCTGAGAAGAAAATTGGTACGCAGTAAGCTGACCGCAGAACAGGCGCTTACACAGAATGGCACAGTACAATGCAATAAACCCCGCAACAGTAAGGAGAAGGCCTGTGTAAGCGCCAAGTCATGACTTGGTGCTTACTCAGGGCTGAGGACTGTCTGCCCACTCCTATGTGACACGGCTGGGTGCCTAAGTGGCCAATCATGAAGCATCAGTGCTGTCATGTGGAAGCAAGGAAAATAGCCAATGTTTTCCCATATCTGCAACTATCATGGACTTTACTTTATCTGGGATTTTCTATGTGAACAGAATGAGGGTTGAGCAAAACGAATATAGTGTAAGTGTCTCCAGGAACCAACAATTAGGAGAATCTGCCAACTATATAGGTAAAGCACATGTTTACATAAAAAAATAAAAGTAATTTTAGGAGATCTGATACAGAATTAAAAAAAAAGTTACCTTCAGTTTGCATCTAAAGGCATGCTGGTGATGCCATAGCTTGCTGGATGGACTATACATTATTTGACTATCATTTTCTTAGACAGGAAATTAGCTTGGCACAATGTGGAAAGTATTGATATACTGTAATGATTCTAAGAAATCTTGCTTATTGTCCCACAGTTAGTGTAATAGTGCAAGCTGGAGAAATGTTATTTGGTGGTCAAAAATATAATAGCCTCGAAATAAAACTAAAAGTTCGTTTTTTAATACTGACTAGCAAAAGTGTGACTGTTCCAGGCTACATTGTGAAAATCCTAACAATGGTTGTGAGGAAAAGATATATGTTATAATAATTTTTAACAAATTAGAATTTAAACAACTAAATACCTATTTCAAATCTAATATGTTGCTTGTGCAGTACTGGTTAATATAGCAGCATGTAAGGAGAGAAATCAAAGTTGTGGCCTTGGTCTAAGAAGAAAAAAGGGGAGCAAAGATTCTCTTTGATCCTAACGTAGGAGAAAAGCCTACATTAAAAAAAAACGTATTCATAAGCTACACAGGTGCAAGCTGTAAAAAGTTAAACGTTTTGGTTATCACTTGCCTTGCCATTGTTTCGCAAAGTTATACCAAGAAAGGCCAGTCTCTTAGTAACAACTAGTAGTTACCTTGGTAACTACTCCAATATAGGCCAGATCATCATCAACAGTGATCCAGTCAAGACCTTATCCATTTGTCTAGAGCTGTGGAAATCCCAAAGCCATACATAGTATTTGTAATCTGCAAAATATATGTAGAACCTGATGCTTTGTGATGTTGAAAATAATGCATCTTTATACATTAATGTGTAATAAATCCCATATATGAACATATATGGGACAATTAATTCAGAAGTTCTTCTAATGATAAGATTTGTCACCATTGAGTACCTAAAGGGAGTACTTGCTGCATTGTCCTGGTTTCCAGTGCACAGAATTCATTCAACTGGCTTTGTCCAAATCAACATTCAGCAAAGCTTTTGTTTTATAGCACAACACATCAAAATGGATATGGAGCTGGTCTGTGCTTAAACTTCAGCCCTAGTTCCTGTCAATTGCTGCCTAGGGAGGGACCTCTTTGCCTGGGAATGTGTCGGAGCACAAATTTCTGGCCCTGTTGCATACTTGCTTTACTCATCTGGGAACAAAGACGATGCAAGAAACTACAGCATCTTGAAAGGCAAACCATTTTTGTTTAAAAATAAACTGTTATTTACTGAAAGTAAAATATTACAATATTAAAGTAAAATAGTATACTATTTACTAAATCGTAAAATATTTTATCACAAAATACTATTAGTATTGGTTTTACTGAAAATAGCTGAGCAACTTGCTGTATCTTCTGCATTTAACAGATTATACAAAAATTCCACTCTTTTATCAGATCAATAAGAAGCACAATTGCAGTACATCTGCTTTGTGAATGTTACACAACAGAGTGCATGTGTGATAGGTGACATACATATTGGAATTTTGTAGGCTGACTTTACCAGCTGTCATTTTAAAATTCCTCTGAGCTTTCTGCACAAGTTACTGAAATCTGACATCTCACTGTTTCTCTATGGATTACAAAATGAATCAACGGCGTCTTGCATACATAAATGTAAAATCTGATAATAAGTAGTTTAAAAGCACTCGTTTAACTAAATTAATTTAATTGAATCTGAAAATACCTACACACATGATAGTTCTATTCTGCAAATGAAAACTAGTAGATTGGCTGAGATTTGCAGGATAAAGATGTACTGTACTTCTAACTTGCACAAGTCCATGAATTATGACCTATTCATTGTAAAAGGTCCTCTTTAAATTCTTTTTGCAGCATGGTGGCCCTTCTGTAATCTGGGTGTTAATAGATTCCACAAAGACTTGCAATCGGAAATCTTCAACTTGACAGATGTAGTAAGAAAACTGCTGCTAGAAGCTGCTAGAAGATATGCAAGCTTATTTAGAGATCTACAATGATGTACAAAATGCACTAAACCATTTCAGCAATAACCTATAATATTATGCTGATATATATATATATATATATGTTAAATTAAATCCTGATTTATTGCTATGGGTTACTGAACTTATATATCATCATTGCTCTTTGCAATAAAGGAACATTCCTATAAGTGCTACCCAAGGCAGCACTAAATGCTATGTTCAACTATTCTTTTTTTTGTGTCACAAAATTTATTTTTGATTTAAAAACTGCTTACAAAAATCCTCTGCAATAGAAGCCTCTGAATAATTATCTCTCCAGCAGGCGGCAAGCCTGCTTTTTGCTGTCTTTAAGCACTAGGTCTTCAGTATTCAATGCTTCTGGATGTGTTAGATTCCTGGTCTGCGCTGCACTAAGTGGTTTCTCCCATCATCCCTATATCACTACTGTGTTCTGTAGTGACATAGGACTAGCATATAGAAGACAGTGGAGTTCAGACTATTAAAAACTTGACAGTGTTACTTTAATCATTTATTGTTACTCGTATGGGGCACTGTCTGAATCTGGGGGGAGTCATTTTCCAAGGTCTTATTTACTTCAAGACTAACTAAAATATTTTCTATTCACAAAAAAAATTAAATATAAAAATAAAAAGTAGTGTTTTTTTTTGGTGAAATGGACAGAAATTCATATTTAAACATAGGTAGTCAGGCTGAACAGTAAGATAGCAGTCAACCATAGATCAACACCACAACCCTCTGGCCTCATCTAGTGATATCAAATGCATTTGAAATCATGCCAGATTTCCTTGAAGCATAATACATCCTTAGCAACATGGCACTTTTCCTATGACAAGACACCTAATTTCCAACAAAGTATGCCTTTGGCAGAATTGTACCCCTGTGGTACCATGGTACTTTCCTTACCTTACACTAATTAGATTTTTGTAAACAACAAATTTTTGGGTAATATCACAGTCCATGACAAAATGAAAGCTTTCAGGCAACATGATGTCCCTCTGCCAATATGAATCCCCTTGGGCTATGACAACATTTTGTATTCTGGCATCACCCCCTGACCAGCCAGCATGGCACCATAGAAACGTAGAGGAATAAGTACTTCTTTGCTATGGTTTCCCAGTCGTTATAACATTGAACAGAGAAGCAGAAGCTCAATCTTATGGTGTTTCTGGCGAAAGTCACCTGAGATAACCTTGTCACTTTGCCATGAGACAGAGATGACTATATGTACTCCATTTTAGACATGTGCACTGTCAAAAAAATTTGTTTAGTTTCGTTTTGATTCGGATTTTGTGTTATTTCGTTTTTCGGGATTCGGGTGTGAAAGTCCATTTGGAATTCGGACGAAATTCGTTAGCAGTAGTTCGTTCGAACGGTGGTTTCGTGTTTCTCTTATTCGTTTTGTTCATTCGTTTGCAGCAAAGTGACATTTGAGGGAAAAAAAATGTTTTTCTCCTTCTCTAATGTCACTTTGCTGGAACGAACGGACGAAACGATCGTTCGAACGAACTACCGCTAACGAATTTCGGAAACAGAAAGTCGGATTCGTTTGCATTCGTTATATCTGTAATTCGGATACATCCAAATTCCGAATTTTGGAAAATTCATCCGAATTTTTTTTTCGGAATGAAACAAATCGCACTTGTCTACTCCCTTTCTAAATATGCCTGCTTGGAGAATAGTGTTGTACATTTTGTGAGAATGAAGGTAAGTCAGATTTTTTTACCAATGACCTGTATATGTCTGGTGAGTAATTGTTGATTTATGTGGCTATTGAGATTTTCCCTGTTTTCAAAATATATACCAAATTACACAAGGGTATTTTTTTTAATAATCACTCGCATATCTTCAGCAGTCAAGAAAGCAAACAAATATTTAAACTGTTCAAGTATCAGATTTGTTCAAAAATATAATGCACAGAGCAATGGCAAAGTCCAAAGTGTCCAATAAATGAGTTTACTGAAGTTGTACTACTAACAAACTTTAATGAATGGCTGTGGAATATTTACTGCAATGTAAACATTGGGGTCTATTCACAAAAGGGTGTTTGGAGAAGGCAGGAGAAGTGAACAATCTAAGAGAAAAAATATTTGGTGCAATGAATTCTTTAAAACATATGTATCCTTTTCCACAAAAGAAGAAATCCCCAGGGTATCTTTACTGCAATATCACCAGCAACATATGAATGCTACTTGTTTTTGTCCTAAATTAAATAACTTTATCAAAAATACTTTGGGGATATAATTTAGAAATGGCATAAACACAGCAATGGCTATGCCTTTGAACAGTTTTCCCTACCTGACTCTCCATGGGAATATAATATTATAAAAGAGCCCTTGATAGTAACACCTGCGACAATAGAAACATAAACATCATTAAACATATGTCTCTATGCATAATTGATCTGGTTAATTACTTTATAGAAATTCAGTCCAATGTAACACTCCAATCCCAGTGAGGAATTCACATCCTGAAAGGCAGTGGAAGGACACAGTGTGATATATTATTGCCACCTGTTTACTTTCTTAGTGATAAGGTCACACAAATCAAATCATAAGTCATGCATCTTATTAACACTGACCTCATCAATCTATGTGAAATGACTATCCTAGACAGAAATGAGCCTGTCTCTAATAAAGTAAGATTAGTGTGTTCCGTTACACTTCTGATTAAAATAAACTGCCCTTGTAACAGGTTTGAAACAAAAATTAAGTATATAAAAAATAAAATACATATTAGCATAAGTCAAAATATACAAGCACAAATAATTGCTTGTAAAAGCATACCCAAAGTTTTTTATTGTGTCATCCATTTAAGAGAACTCTTACATATTAACAATTAAAACCGCTGTATATTAGAATCCTAGGGAGAAAAAAAAAATAGATATGAAAGAAAAACCCAGGTGAACAGTGTGAAAGATCATCAAAATGTTCGTCATGACCTGAAGTGCAGAAGGAGTTTGACTCAGCCGATCCAACATCTGGATCGGCTGAGCCGAACCTCCGGCAGGCTACTCACTGCTGTTCGGCCTATTCTTATAGATGCCAAACAGCAATGAGTGAATAGCCGAATGCCGCTGAGCGGCATTCGGCTCGGCTGTTCTGCTCGGTCCCTCAGAGGGACCGAGCAGAACAGAAAAATAGTTTTAAAAGTTTTAAAAAAAGTAAATAGAAAACGATTGTGCGGAGCTAGCAGTGATGGCTAGCTCCACCCAATAGTTTTCGATTGTCTGGCGGCTCTGCTGCTGTCAAAAAATAAATAAAAATAAAACTCTCCTGGGAGCCTCCCGCTCCCGGCCGCCCAGGAGAGAAACACTGCTTTTTTTTTCTCTTTATTCTGACACGCAGCCGTGTCAGAATAGAAAATAAATAAATAAATGTTTGCCCATTGGAATGCATTGCTAGATTCCCATTGGCTATTTCAATTTGCAATAGCCAATAGTAAACTAGCATTGTACCCACCCTCTGCTGATGGACCTGATGGAGAACTGCAGCAGAGGGCGGGTACAATGCTAGTTTACTATTGGCTATTGCAAATTGAAATAGCCAATAGGAATCTAGCAATGCATTCCAATGGGCAAAACTTTTATTTTTTTCTATTCTGACACTGCTCCGTGTCAGAATAAATAAAAGAACAATCAGTCTTTCTCTCCTGGGCTGCCGGAAGCGGGAGACTCCCGGAGCGCCAGGGAGAGTTTGCTGTTTGGAGATCATTTTCCTTTTGTTAGCAGGTAACCAGGGACGCTGATCTCTCTGCAAGTGGCCGGAGCCAGCCGTAAGATCACGGCTGGCTCCACCCAGCCGTCAGAAGCAGGCATATGCATTCGGCTCGACTGAGTTGCACGGCCACATTCGGGAGCTGTACGGGCTATAGTGAATAGCCCGTACAGCACCCCTTTGGTTCTACTGAGCCGAAGGGGTCCTGGGGCCGAAACTAGCCGAAGGATCGGCCGAAGCTACGGCAAGATCCTTCGGCAGTTTCGTGAATAGACCCCATAGTAGAATTCTCTTTTCCATCCCACATGCTATAAAATATACTCAGTGCGTTCCCTCCACTTTTGCAGTCAAATTTGAGAAACACCCTCTATATGTTTTATGTGTTCTTGTGCACACAGCATAACAAAAAATTATTTGCACCTTCACAGTGATCCTTATACAAAGACATAGGACTGCAATGTGAGGACTGCGTTTCTCTCATTAACTTCATTAACATGCAATGCAAACTCCTCTCGCCTCACGGACCCACCGCTCGTAACATTACACAGAAGGAAAAACCAAGTAAAACAGTTTAACCCTTAAGAAGCCAAGAAACCCTAACCCAAGTAAAAACAATTTAAATATATTAAACAATTTAAATATATAAAATAGGTTTTACCCCAAATTGGCTGCAAAAAGTGGACATACACTTTAAATGTTACTTCTAGCCAAAACTGATACTTCAGCATTGGGTAGATGCTGGCATATTGCCAGTTTTCTATACCTTTTCTGGGTTCAAGTAGTTAAATGTCTGGAATTCTGAACAAGTTCCCCTTAGCTCGCAATCACTAGGGTCGTTACTGTTTAATTTGTCTTCAGGCTCACTGAGACACAATGGTAGAGCTCATGCTGAACTGTTCTCTTTAACTGCAGTACTGTATTTCTTATAAAACCTAATATTTGCATCTTTAAACAAGACAAGCCTTAGAGAAATGTATGTTCTTTCAAAATGAATTTGATGTGACAATATTCTCTTCCTTCAAGGTACATTGGTTTTATAAACTCCCCCTTATTTAGAATATTTCAGTTTTTGTTATTTACCTGTTATCTGCAGGATTTTGGGATAGAATTTGTTCCAGAATCTGCACTGCTTGGCACGCATTTTTCGATCTGTCTTTGAGTCTTCTGTGTCTAACATAAGGTAATGTTGTTCATCGAGTGTGAATGCTGGCCATCTGTTTTCCTGAGACTGTACCCCATTTGGATTGCTAAACAAGAAATATTCAAACATAACGACTGTTATTACATACTCTGCCTATATTTTGCATTACACTGTTTTATATCAGCAACCCTTTGGTTACTCATCCATATTCAAAACACACAGGCAATGTTTGTAATATCACTCAGAATTAAAAGCTCAGACTATTGCTCTGTTTTGTAGGCCTTATCAGTACAACAAGCAGACTCTGCTGTCTACTCTGCCTTATTTATCAAGCTCAGAAAAGCAGATAGACAAAACTGCACTGGTTCAGTTAGAAAATGAAGTCTCACATTTATGAAAAGAAAATATGTAGCAAATAAATTGTTTTGGTTTATAACAAGAAGAAGATGGAAAAGCAACATTGAAAGGCAATTGCATACTAAATCAGCTAAGATCCCTGAAGCACAAAATAAAAGCTTCTGCTCCGGACAACTTTTTTTTAATGGTCTATGCAAAACATCAAAAGGGACAAGGTCTTAAATAAAATAGAAAATAGTAGGATACCGTTTCATACAAGATTCATATCAAATCAGCAAAATTCATATAGCAGACTGGAATCTAAAGTTAGAAAGGGCTTACGTCTCTAGTTTTAATATACAGTATATGGAACCTGCAGCACTTGCAGATTTTACTGTGTTGCTGTGGCTATATTGTCCTTTTGAAGAGTACCTTTCATCTATACATAGTGCAGTAATGTTAAAAGCTGAAGCAGCATACAGTTTGTAAACATTGCATTGGCTTCACATACTGTGATCTCTAAGATGCTGTAGTGGTATTTGTAATTGAACAGACCAATTAATCTGTGTCTTTCTTTTTTTGTGCCCCTTGAGTACTTTGAAGATGTCCATCAATTAAGAGGCAGGATTGACCTGGTGAATTTTTTGGAATTCCTTTTGTATTGTTTTGATATGTGGTTGGATATGCTGGATATGCATGGTATGACTTGCCTCACTTTCTCACATATAACTATGGAATTAAATTATCGTATGCAATTGAATATCTTTATCTGTTTGAATTCATTCATTTAAATATATGGTTCATATAATGCTAAGTGTTGTACATTCAGCTGGAATGCCCCCTGTCTATATTGTAACCTAGGCAAGTCCAGATATTTGACAGTCACATTCTCCAATGCAAAACTCTTCTGTGTTATCCCTTTTGTCTCTGTTTCTTCTCATTCTAAATATTGCATTGCCATTCACTGTGGCTCCATTCTCTTCTCTTCCCTGTATGCTCATCTCTTAGTGCCTCCCTTACAATGTTCTGTGTTTTTTTTGCCTGTTTTGCCGTGCTTTTCAAGGTTACCATTATTTTTCTCTGTACTTCTCTGTTCCCATTCTCTGATTTGTCCCCTAGCACTCCTCTTCTCTCTTGCAATAACTCGTTTCTCGTGTGCCAGTTCTGCTTATTTTCTTCCATGTACTGCATGTCTCTCCTGTGCCCTCTCTGCTTCCTTTCCCAAAATGTTCTTAAATGTCTTTCATCTTTACTTACTTTTGCCCATCATTCTTTGTGCCTCCAGTCTTTCCCTTAGTGCCCCTGCTATTTCCACGTCTGCTATCATTGTTATCTTCTTTGACCTTATGCATAAATATGCTAGATCTTTTGACTTAAGATTTCAGTATAGGAGGCCGCTACAGGGACACCTCCTTATCAGAGCCACTGCACAGTTCATGTATGTCAACCACAAAAAAAATGTGTACCTAGATTTAAACATCCAGTTTTACAATGTGAATTATTATGCTTTGTTCAGAGAAGTTTACCCACCACAAAATGGCCTCCACCTCATTTTTACTGGTGGAGGTCATTTTAGAGTGAGGATCAAACTTGGACCACTAAGTTGTACTTTGATCATGAAAGTCAAATTTCAGGCAAGGTTTTTTTTTTGTTTGTTTTGCTTTGAACAGAAAATTGAAGAATTAGAACCTTGGTCAGATTTATATTACTGTATGTGTACCCATTGGCGAGATTTCCCTAGCTTGCTGCTCCTGTTTGACAAGGGGGCATAGGGAGAGAAAGTGGTGGGAAATCTCTCTAGTGTAGACACAATCACCAAGAAAAACTTTTTTATTTAAGAACGAGGAAGAGTAAGAATCTGTATCAGGTTTGCATTACTTTCTGTTCATTCCTATTCTAGGAATTCCAATTTTTACCCCATTTCATGTACCATTGTCACTGAGACATAAAGTGAGGGTATATCACCCAGATGGAGACACAGACAGCAATCAAAACCCAACAGAAGTTCTAAAATTTTTGCATTTAGTCTAAAACTAGTGGTTGGAGTTGGGCTTTACCTTTTTATAAATTAATGTTATTTTTCATATGTATTTTATTATACTTGATCACGACAGACATTATCCTGAGTATTCCCTAAAAAAACAATAAACTCTGATTTTTATTGAAAGTATCAACAATTGTCTTTTCTATCATTTAGTAATTTCTGCAGTTCATGTAATAGCTAGGGGAATATGATGAAACACAGTATTATGTATGTGAATAGAAAGCAGTATCTGGTTGGGTTTGTTAGTTCTTCTAGAAAATGGCATAATTAATATTTGATGTTTTAGATATGTATTAGGTAATTAACAGAAAGTGCCAGGAATAAAGTACCATAATTTGTAGAGTGAGATAGCTTATCGTGCTTCTGCTTAATAATTAAAAGTACATTATGATTAATACTTCCTCCCTGCTCAGTAACAATGTGTACCTTGTGTATTATAATGTGTAGTTCCTGATTCTATTTCTGGAAGGGATGTGGCATTTCAGGCCAGAAAATGTGCTGCCTTAATTGTTAATTTAGTATGATAATCATCAGTCTTCATATGCCACTTGGTATGACTGAAACACTGAAGGGGCCTTCCAAAAAAAAGTGATATCAAAACTGATATTTCTTTTTTTAGGAAAATATTAGAAGTTAATCACCTATATCTTCCTATATCTTAGATTCCACTGGTGAGATTTGTGTATTTCTAGGCATGGACATCTGAGATGGAGCTTATAAAGTGTCTCCATTCTTGTTTTTGTATTATAAACACATGGAAAAAATGTAGTATTATTTTTTTTGCAGCAGGAGTGATAGATACCAGATTGCAAATACAAACCTGCATAATTCATTCTGAGCATATGGATAACAAATTCAAAATCAGATTTTAACATGAAAATGGCAAAATGATCAGTAGATCCAGAGAGATAGCCAGCTAATATATGCAAATCTTGACTCATATAAAAGTCAAACTGGACCCTGCCTCCCCACCTCTTTGTACCCTGCCTATTGGTCCTACAAGATAGAGGCTACATGGGCAATTTTTAGAAGCTCAGTGATGCTACTAAAATCTTTCTTAACAGATGGAATACATGGCATCCTATGGTCTAAACTACATAAGTTACATGTATTAGCAAACTAAGTGGTGCATTGTACAAAGATAGGAGATTACTCATTACTGCATGCTACTTGTGTAATTTACACTGTAGGGAGGTATTTTACTGGTTACCAATGTATTTCCTTTTGCTAGTGATTAGTTGCTAGCAATTTTATTAGCTGAAGCTTTAATGTTGTGGGCAGCCTTATTCACCAATAAGAAGGCTCAGGAAGTAAGAGCCAGCATGGCCAAGTGTTTTTTTAAAGAAAAAAATGAAGATCTGTAGCAACTCCTGTTGCCTATATCGGAAGCTACTGATTATTTTAGTTTTTCAGTGAAGGTAATCTTCACTGCTTATGAATTATTCTATTATTCTTAGAATTACCCAGGTTTATGGCAGGTTTGTCTACTTTTCTTGCAATGGTAGCACTTGTAAGAGGCCTTGCAGTTGTTTTTCCCCTTTTCTTCCTCAGTAGTGTTTAACCAAGTTTCTGTTGTATAATTGAAGGAAATCTATCTACAATCGGAAAAAAGGGCATTGATTACTGGGTGAAGAGTGAGCTCTTCAAAGAAAGAGAGAGTAGACCGACTCTCTGAGGCTTAGAAACTCGGTTACTTGAAAGTAGGGAACATGGGCCGGAGACTGTGTTTCCCTTAGGACTCCTAGCATCATTTGTCAGACTGAAGGATATTGTAAGTAACTTTGCTGCAGGAAATGCTAAATCAAAATACATGCAACACCTAGTAATTCATGATGACCCAATATTTTAGTAATTCCAATGGAACTTGGTTGTTTTATATTCAAGTATGTGCCTGATTTCTGTCTCAAGATGTCACAATTTTCAGTTGGAGTTGAAATCCAATAAAGTTACAAGCAAGAGCAGTAGTGGGGGTAATTGTTTCCAGCTGCAACACAGAAATGTTTTCGGATGAAGTATGGTGAAAGAGAAGACTCCTTCTTTGCTCTTTGGTGAGCCAAGTTAATATGTATATCAGTGACTTACACTCTATTTCACAGTAATGCTCTCTACGCTGACCTCCTAAATGGGTATATTGCCCATGGGCCTCTCTGAGGTCAAGAATTCCAGCTGCACAATTCTTCTTTTCTAATCCTACAATAGACAGTACTTATCAGAATATGCATGAAGTAGTCAGCATAGTTTTAATTTGGATGAACTGTGTGTGGGACTTAATGTATCCTGTTTTAAACTTCATTGGTTGGGAAGCAGGGGAAAACAAATGAATGCAAGCCTTGATTTGACCTCAAAGGAAAACTGCATGCTGTCTTGTTCTCTTTACTGAAAAAGTAGCTGGATCATAACTTCGACTCAATCTGCACTAAGAAATTAATTGAGAAAGTGTTTAATCTTAGCGCAAAATACATTACGTTCCTGATGATTCACCAAAAAGTACATGATGTTGTATCCCAATGTGTGGTAGTTATTTTAGATGAAATTGTGAGTTGGTCATGTGGAAAGGAGTCTGCACCTAGCATCTGGCATGCAGAAATGGAGTATAGAGCATGACCTTACCTACAGCTGTATTTGGAAAGATATAGCATACAAGGCTGACACCTGACACACAAACGTTTGCATTGATTGAGGGATGAGGGTAAGCTATTTTTCTTAGGGCCACCTTAGACTTCACA